GCTTGTCCTTCATCTCTGCCTTTGCCATCCTCCTCACCTCAGCCCAGCAAATCCTGTGCCCAACGTCAAGCACTCTCTAGTGTCTGGGACGCCCGGCATTTGCTTGCTCAGACCAAGGCATCAGGCCAGCTCTGGCTGGATGAGGGGTGACCCCACCCTAAGCCCGGAATGGACCCCCCTGAGCCCCCAAGCCTGGCCCCAAAAGTCATAAATCACAAGCAGAGGTGTCCAGGGTTCCCTTGCTGTTGCTGGGATCTCAGCGTCTGGGGAGCCCGGGAACAGTTTCTGCCTGTGTTAACTTCACAGACAGGACAAAACAGCATGAAAGAAATCAGAGACTGTCGTCTGCAGGAGCTGAACTTTGAAACCCCCCCCCCCGCCCTCATATGCTTCAATATTAAAAAAAAAAAAAAACCCTAGGAGCTTCAGACACTGTATTAATTAGTGCAACCACCCATGAAAAGTTGGGTTTGGAGCGGCATTCTTTGCCCTGTGTGAAAACCCAAGTCTAATAAACAATTGTTAAGTTGGCCTGTTGCCGCTGGTAAATTACATAGCATTAAAAAAATAATGCTTTTCATATTAAGCACTAATTAAAGGTTGGGACAGCTTTAAAATAAGAGAGGGAGGGGGAAATCAAAGAAAATATAAAACTGTTCTTTCAAGAGTTATGAGAGGTTAATAAAGTATGTCTGTTAGAATGAGTCTGCTTTGCCCCTAGCTACAGCCTAGCTGGAGCCACCACAATTGGGTCTCAATAAGATAATGATATTCCTTTCTCTGCTATTAAAAGCCTCCCAGTGCAAACTTAAAATGATTTATTTAATTTAGGAAATTATGAGGTGTAACTTCAAAGCTTGAGCCGTTAGTAATGGAAAATACCAGGTTGTTTAAAATTATAATAATAATTGTTTGGAGGACTCAGGACATCAAAGTGTTTTCATCAACAAATGCTGCCGAGGTTGGAAGAGGTTGGAAAGTCAAAGGTGTATGGAGCTTGGATTTGGCTATTAGGACCTTATCGGGCAGCGTTCGGGGAGTCTGCAGCGAGTCCTCCGCTTTGAAGAGGGCTGTTTCAGAAAGTCATTTTACTGCGGTCCATTTTGTTCTGGGAGGGTGGAGGGGAGAGAGAGTGGGGTGATGAGGGGCGGGTATGGGGGCCTGGGGGTGGTGGTGGATAGAAGGCTTTTCCTCCTTGTTGTGACTACTTTATTTCATTAAAGCGGCCTGTAGCATCAGCAATCTCAGATTTTTTTTTTTTTTTGTTCTTACATGAAAGGGGAAGCAGGCACAATCGACTTCACCAACCAGGCCCTGTGATTTTGGGGAGGGTGTGTGAGTGTGTGTGACGTGGGTTCCTTTATAAATGAGGTTTATGCTTATTTCCAGCCCGGCGGTGGGAAAGGAATGGGGGTGGGGCAGTGGCCTCTCCAACCCGTGGCAAATGAGGGGCTTTCATAGCAAAGAATGGCCGTGGGAGTTTTCATTCGGTCAGACAAGGTTGCGCTCAAAGGCAGGCATCCTCTTTTCAGTCGGGTCAGGCAGACGTTTCGCCGGCTCCCGCTAGCAGCCAGGCCTCAGCGGCCTACCTCCTCCTACAGCCCCTGCCCCCGCATCACCAAGGCAGGACCGAGAGGGGGAGGGGCGGGCTGGGCCCCAGGGCCAATGGGATGGAGATGCCCTGGGGAAGCCCCTCAGCACTGTGGGACCGGAGCTGGTGCATTCTTCCAAAGCGGGCCCTCCAGACCCCTACCTACTTTCTGAGCGTTCCTTCTCTGCCTCCTCTTTCATCGCTCACCACGTCCAGGGCTCACCCTTCAGCTGCATTCCCTAGCCATCGCCATAGTCAACAGGTTCTGTGACTTCAGTGAGCTATCTCTCTGGGCGTCAGTTTCCCCTGTGACAAGCATAACCTCCCTAAAGGGATGTGTAACAAATACTGGTTCAATTAAAAAAAAAAAGCCTCCATCCTCCCTAAACACCGGCTTCCCGGCTCCATAAATGCAAACTCCTGTTCTTTCACCCCTAATTTTCTAAAAGCAGAGCTTCCTACCTGCGAAGGTTTTTCTCCCCCCTACGGAAAGCATTAAAGTATGGACGGACAGGCGTATTTGTATGCCAGGCTACTCGCAGTCGATACAGAGATCATCAAAGACTCCGCAGTGCTTTGGTCTTCCAAGCGTCTCTGCCATGTGGGTCCTGGGCAAGCGAAGGTCTTCCTTCACAGGTTGCCAGTCTGATCTCTGAAACACCCTGTTTGCAGGACCAGGCCTGACCGAGGAGAGACCCATCCTAGACAGGAGGGTCTTAAGCAGCCCAGAGCACAGCGCATAGTTGTGTCCCGCGGACCTTGCCTGGAAAGCCCATGCATACATGCGTAGAAGCCCGTTACTTCTGAGCCAGATCAAACCCTTCCCGGCTTCCCTTTCTGAGTACTGGATCTGGGATCATGGGCGTGGTGCCCAAAAAGCCTGATTCCAGTTTACCCAACTCAAACCGAGTTCTTGGAATCAAACTCTGGACTTAATTTACCTAGCTAGGCAAAGCTGAGCCTTAACCCAGAGGCCGGCGTTTCCAGGCCCCCACCCCAACTATCACCGCCCGAGGTGACCAGTCCACGGCGCCGGGAAGGAAGCAGGGTGGACAGGGTAATTAGGGACCCCCCCACACCCCTTTGGCGGCTGATGATGAAACCAGGAAGGTCTTTGGCCTTTGGGTAACGCATCTCTTAAATGAGTGTGGCGGATTCCGGCCTGGAATTTGGACTTTGGGGACTACAGGCCCGAAGAGAAGCAGAAGCATGTTTTTTGTTTGTTTGTTTGTTTGTTTTGTTTTGTTGTTTTTTTTTTCTGACTCTGGGACCCGCCCGCGGCTCAGCTGAGGGCGGTAACCAGGCAACAGGACCCTATCCTCTTCTAGTGTGTGCCGGATCGGTTTGGATCTAAGAAAGTAGTGCGACCACCTTGAGGTCCGGGCTCACACAAACAGGAGTTTTTGGGGCGCCTATCTCCAAAGTGAGTGCCAAGCGCTGGCAACTCCCTGAGAAGCGCCCAATCCTCCACTGCTAATCCGCACACCACCAAGTTCTTAGTTCCCTCACCTCCGTGTTCCCAAGGTGACCAAAGGAAAACAGAAAGGCATCTCCACCACAGAAAACTTGAGTTTAAAATCCTTCTCAGCCCCCCCCTTTATTATTACTGTTATGGCTACGTGTCAAAACCCAAGCCTGACGCAGCTCCGGAGGGCACCTAAGCGCTCTCGGGGTAGGTGGGCTGGTTAGCCCTCTTCAAAGAGACAAACCGGCTCTTTTGGAGTTCCTCTTCATGAGAGACACAGCACAGAGAGCCCCGCCCCGACGAACCCCTGCATCCTTTCTGGCGTCCCAACCTCGCCCCTTTCTCAACTGTTTTGGTGGTTGCAAATTTCCAAGTTCAAGATTTTCCCAGGACCAGCACGGTCGGAGTCTAGGGAGCACCGCTTCTCCACTCTTTAAACGCTCATTTTTACTACAATTTGATATTTTAATGGCGGTTTCAACAGCTTCTTCCTAAACCATACAGGCTGCCAGCTGACATTTCCAAGTGTCCCAGGGCTTGAGCCTCTACCACCCAAATCTAGCCACAACTTGATCTGATTTACATTAATGGGGCAATTAAAAGCGCTAGTCCCCCTTCCTTATCTGGACTGGGTTTCCCCTTGAGTCCAACTAAGATTAGAGTGCTTTTAAAAATAATTGTGAGCTGGGACAGACTTTACTGCAATAAAACATTTTAATTTAATTCAGAGTAAGAGATAAGAAATAACTCTTCAATAAAATATATAAAATTATACAAGATACCCTTTCAATGGGATAAAAATATTCTAGGGGAAGAGATGGACAGGAAGGTGAAATCCCAAGGAGCTGACTGTGTTGTCTGACAACACCATTTCCAGCAAATCAAACACATGGCTTCACCATCTACCTCCAACACATTAGAGTATATAAATTTCCCTAATACGTATAGCACATACAGGAAGTACACACACACAGAGAAAGCTTTTTTTTCCTTCCTTATCCTATGGGCTGTTGAAGAATATTTAAAATATAGGCAATAGGTATAAGACACTCATTCTGAAGCAGATATTTCCTATGCCTTCTTGCAAGTTCCTCTGTAATGTATGAGGACTGATGTCGTTAGCATTTCATAGAAATCAACTCTTACAAACATGTTTTACCTTCTAAATCCCCTTTCACCCCAGTGACCTGAAATGCAGTTTCCTATTTTCTACCTTACCCTGAATAATCTCAGAGTTATCCTCACCCTCTTCTTGTGGACCTTAAAAAACAAAGACTTAAGAATCTGGAATGGAGGAGAGGAAAAAATAAGATCAAATGTGCATCTCAAGACATCTTTTTTCTTATGTACAGAAACTGCAAACATGCACGCACACACACACACACATACACACACACACACACACACACACACACACCCCTTCACTTGCAAGAATCTACCTGAAACTACATCCTGTATGCACTGTGTCTACTTCTGGTATGGTTTTAGTAAGCAAGTCCACCATCTTTGCAAATTCTGCAAATAATCTCTTTCCCTTTAAGAAAAACATAGAAAATGGACTTAACACAATATCTTAAGAAGACACTATCTAGAAAAAAATGGATAAATGTATATATAAATTTTGCCTTTCAAAATAACTTGAATTTTTACATCTGGCATATAAAAAGTCTTATATTTTATTATATATTTATACATAAAAACTAGCAGAGCCAATATTTGTGAGAGGAGAAGGGGACATTTGGAAAATTATGAAAACAAAGTAGGTCTTAGTGCCTCTCACCTAAAGAACAAATTCACTCTGTATCAAGTGGCCCAGCAGGCCTGTTGCTTAGGGTGACAACGCAAGGTTTGCGTTGAGGAGCAGAATTGGCACCACCTTCTTGGAGAGGGAGGGGGATGCTTTTATGCAAACATCCCTCCTGGAGTCTATCCATCTGATCTTCCTTACGATAGATGGTACATGCCATATCCAACCGGCGTGGCATAGAGTCCAACGGGCGGGATGGGAAGCACAGGTCTATGGAAGGGATAGGAGGCTCCGTATATGGATGCGGCTTGCAGCGGTGAGTTGATGGGGAAGGGCAGACTGAAGCCGGAGGGCAGCATAGGTTTGGCAGCCATTTTCAGCTTTTCCAGTTCCGCCTCTTGCAGTCTTTTCGCCTTAGCCCTTCGGTTCTGGAACCAGATTTTGACCTGGGTTTCTGTAAGGTTCAGAGAGCTGGAGAACTCGGCCCGCTCTGCGATGGAGAGGTACTGTTTCTGGCGGAACTTGCGCTCCAAGGCTAGAAGCTGGGATGTGGTGAAGGGTGTGCGTGGCTTCCGGTTGGTCTTGTGTTTCCTCAGGGTGCAGGTGGTGGGGCTCATATGTCCTAAAGGACAGAGAGGGAAGTCAATTAGCGAATTTTGTCATCTCTCTCCTCTTAAGAGAACACATAAACTTTGTTGCGTTTCTCTCTCTCTCTCTCCCCCTCTCTCTCTCTCTCTCTCTCTCTCTCTCTCTCTCTCTCTCTCTCTCTCTCTCTCTCTCTCTGTATGTGAAGTAGTCAGTGATGGAAAAGGTCTACATTTAAATGGTTAGTAGTTGCTGTATTTTATATCAGCTTGAGTAATGAGGTCATGAAACTTTTTATATGGAAAACATATTGCACTGCACAGAATGGAAATAGAAACCACGACTCAAGCCCCTCTATAAGTCACAAGAGTTAAGAACTATCTAAGAAATAAAATTTCCTCAGAATTCAATCTCCTGTCTTTAAAATGGGGGGGGGTCTGAACTCATATCTGCTCTCAGTAAGACCTGCACATCAGGAGGAAGACATATGGGGTGCTAGATACTGAGTTAGCCATGAGTTGCTCTCTGAGTTACTCTGGGTTACATCAAGCCTGTTTATGAAGAATAATCATCCAGATAAGGCCTGTGATAAACAAATAGCATCTATGGATGGAAGGGCAGATCCAAGCCATAAACAACCACACAGCTGTCACTCCATCTACCCTACAGATGATAAAACCCCAACATCATTTTACAGATCTCGATGTGGGATAAGTTTCTTGGCTGTGTGCTTTGGCAATATAAACTTCACGAAGACAGAGGGGAAATTAGCGTGCTCGTAAACGGACATGTCAAGGGAAATCTCTCTGCCTGCAGTGAGGATGGCATCCGACTCTCTTCTATCCGTTCCATAGTTTACGGCAAGTGTATTAAGTGATTATTTTGTTGTTGGAATTTAGAAGTGGAGAATAACAAGCAAAATAAAGACATGCAGCAGCGTCAGGACTCTGTTTAAAATGGGCTGTTATAGGAAGCACAAGGATGGGGCCTCAAGGTGATTCCGCAGCAGGGACTAATTCTGGTCTTGTTTTCCTCGAGGCTAGGGGAGGAGCATGAGGCGACAAGAATAGAATGCTAAACAATTATTTTTCTGCATTTGGCTTTTATGAGCCAGGCTAATTTCCCTAATGTAGCCAGAGTGCTAGCTCTGCTGTATGCAGGGGAATGTAACCTTTCTTGTTTAGTTACTTTGGTGGCCCAAAGAAGAATTTATACTTCATCCTTAAGAGTGACACAGCACAAGTCCCAACCTAGCCCCTGTCCTGGTGTCACATTGTTAATTTTACAGAGTAGAAGGTTCTGTAATCAGGAAAAACAGCAGTCTGGGAGAGCAATGGTTAGACTTCCCAAAGGCCTGGACTTTTGCATGTGTTAATTCCCAAACAAGCCAAGGGCAGGGGAGATTTTCCTCTCAGCTCACAGGCCAACACCAAGAGCTGGAGACCTGTGGAATTCTCACCCTTCCAAAGCCCACCCAGGCTCCCTTTCAGACACCAAACTCTTACTGCATACACTTGCTGCTGGTTCTATGGGAGAGTTTTGAACCAGGGTAGCTTGGGTCATTCTTGGGGTGCCATGGTGACTTAAAAAGTTCAGGCCATGAAGACAGTGCATAGGTGGCACAGCCATGCCAGGAGAATATTCCCCTACCACTCCCACACTCTTCCCCCACCCCATTTTATACCAGCCAAAGAAATCATGTGGTTATACAAGGTGAAACAAACTTTTATCCTACTTTCTTCAAAGGACAAGGGGTAGATGGGTCCCTCCCTCTAACTCCCACCCCCCCTCCCAGCTGATTGCTGGCAAGCTCTGAGCTCACCCTGCTGACACTTCCACCCCCAAGTATCAACAAATCTTACATTTCCAAATGAAACCTCCCCTGAAAACCCCTAGTTTTTCTTACAAAAAGGATTTATCTAGGGCAAGAAAAACCGCCCACTGCGGAGATGTTACGGAGCCTGTGGGGGTGGGGGCGGGGGGGGGACTGCCCCACCAGACCAGCAGGCCTAAGTATGCCAGGATTTCTGACCTTTGGCCACCATACCATTTAAGGCTGAAATCCTGGGTGTGTTGTGGGGCATTGCCCCAGGCCTAGGAATACAGGCACTCCAAATTTGTTAAACAAGTTAAGACTCTTCATGTTTCTGAACCTCCATTTCACTGACAATAAAATGAATAAATACTACTTATCCCTCAGGTAGCTTAGAGAACTACATTTTGGAGTGCCCAGAGCCCCACTTGGGGGGTAATGAGCAAATAAATGTTCCCAAGAGCTTTTTTTTCATGGGCCCAAACTGCTGATCCCTCTGAACTCGGCAGCGAAACGGCCTCTTCTGTTAACAAGAGGCTCTCGGCTGCCGCACAAAGGAGATCAGATAAGATAATGTCCTGAAAAGCACTGTGCAAACTTTTTAAATTCTTTAAGTCCTTAATCTCTGCGCCCTTTCAGCCTTTCAGAATTTCCAACAGGGTGGAGAGAGACTGCCAGAGGGGACAGCCACTGACGCCTGGGTATATGGTCTTGTTTTGTTCACAAAATACTTTGCATCTCTAGTCCCCAGGGCCGAAAGGTAGAAAGGAAGACAAGTTCTCTTCCAGCTTAGCTTGGAAAGTCCCTCCACAATCCCTCTCCTTCTTTCTCAACTTTCCCGAAGTTTGGTGAGAAGTAGGCAAGGGGGTGAGGGAAAGGCAACAGAGTAGATAAATCTCAAAGGCCAAGAGATATAAACTAAACAAAGTTGCAGGGATGCTAAGTCTGGAAAGGAAGTCGGCACAGCCTCACTGGAGGAAGTGAGGTGCGGTGAACAGATCTATATGGCCATCACCCTCGAAAGCGGGGCAGAAAGCAAAGAAAGACACCAGACCCCCATGCCCAGTGCAAGCATGGATGGTGACCTGGGCCGAGTAAGAGCAATCCTTTAAGCACTAGCCACCAAGTTTGAAGGGGTAGCCACAGGTGGCATGCCTCTGCCTGTACTTTGAGGTTCTAGCAAGCAGCCAAATCTGGTGAACTTGTGGCTACCCCACTGTACATTCTCAGGTTCTGAAGGAATGCTGTTAATTATTACTGTGAACCCAGGAGAGCCCACGAGGGTCTGGCCCAAACTAGCTCCCAGCAACGCTCAAACCTAACCAACAACGTACTTGGACACAGGAAGCTTCCTTTTTGAATCAGTCTCTGCCACCGTCCCCTTCATAAGATGGACATTGTGGAGTCTGAAGAAAACCAAGGATTTCCACTTCATGTCTGGTTAACTTCCAATTGCCTAATCTTTATAGTGGGGTGCACTTTTCGGGGCCGCCTGTATATTTTGAAGGTCAGCAAAACCACGTTTGGATACTCATTTAAAGTGGATCCTGGCCCTGTGTGGTGGTGCACACCAGTTATTCTAGTATTTAGGTGGTGGAGTAAGATGACGAGACGGGTTCAAGACCATCCTGAGCTGCATACCGAGTTCGAGGCCAGCACAGGTCACAGGAGACCCTGACTCAACAAAACAAAACAGTGACTCTCCCCTACTTCCCAGGAAGCTACACAGATAAGAAGCTTTCGGAGCAGGGGGCTAAGGGCTGCAGAAATCAACAACTTGGTTTGGTTTTAAAATGCCAGCCAGCGCTCAGGTACTGTAGATTCCTCGCAGCTAGGGATTCTGGGATGCAGACCGCTCACTGAACTGGGGTACCAAGGGGTTCAAGAGCATCATCTTGTTAACACTCGTCCCCAGCCCCTCTGGGACCCCACGCGCTGGTCCAGCCCGGATCCCGTCCCTGACGCGCACTCACTTGGTGGCGGGGAGTATCTGCCGGGCTCCTGTATCCACGGCGCTCCGTCTTCGGAATTTTCCGACTTGACCGAGGCAGTCTCGAAGGGCTTGACGAGAGGCCCGGGACTGTGAGCGTCCCGGACGCCGTGTCCCGGCAGCAGCAGCGGCCGCAGGACAGCGCCAGCCGAGGCGCAGTCGGGTGGCACCGCGGGCGACTCCTTGGGCGGCTTCTTGTCGGACATGAGCGCTTCCACGCTGAAGGGCAGGCTGGAGACCTTGACCCTGCGCTCCTCCGCACCGCCCTCCGCTCCTCCAGGCCCGGGGCCCGGGCCGGCCAGCACTGCGGGGCCCTCTTCATCCGACGAAAACAAGTCACCGCCTTTGCCCGGAGAAGCCATGACTTTCTGCGCCGTGTAGCTGGCGGCGCGCGACTCTGCTGGCAACTCGCAAGCGAAGACTCCAACTTTTGGTGGGGGGAGCCGGCAGGGGCGCGCCCGGAGCCCAGCCTGTCCTCCGAGGGGAAGTGGGAGACTCGGCTCAACCAATTGGCGACGGCCCTGGTCCTGACGCCACGGACGCTCGCCTCCGATTGGCTCTCCCTGGAGAGCCTGGGGCCCTCCCCCCGCCCCGTTTGAAATAAATTAGGAGTTAATTACAGGAGCAGTCAGCAGAGTTGTTATTAGGCGATCCCTCAAGGGTTATAATCGCCCAAACTGAAAAGTCTAAGACATAATTAAAGCCGATTGTTTAAAGAGGAAGCTTGCCGAGTCTCATTTCTTGTCTTTTAACCCCTCTTTAAAGTGTACCTGGTGCCGATCCCACACGCTCCCGCCTGAGAACGTTGGAAATCCGCAGATGGCATTCCTGGACCATTTATAAAGCTCCTACTATGAGCCCAAACTAGCGTAACTTTTTAACTATAGTGGAAAACCGTAGCCAGCATCTTGGCTAATAGGAGTAGTTTTGGCATAGTCCTTAGTTGTCTTGTCTTTGGAGAGTGTACCAAGACATTAGCTGCAACTCATTCCTTAAGAAAAGGAACAAAGATGAGAAAGGCTGAGAGGCGGCCAAGGGATATCTAACTAATTTCTACCCTGTGTCCCTTTTTCTTTTCCTTTAAAATAAACTCTTGCTCTCCAGCTCTGGCTAGCTTAGAAGTCGATCACTATATTGCCCAAGTTGGTCCTGAATTTGCTACAACTCGCCACTGGCTTCTTCCCCAGGGATGAGATTATAGGTGTGCACCAGCAGACCCAGGGCCCAATGATCCCTGGCAGCTAATTTATACAAATGAGCTCCATTTTTTCCTCTCTCCAAACAGGACTACTTTTAGAAAGTGTAAGTGGGTGTATTTTCTCGCCCCTAGAGTCTCCTCTCTAGGCCTGTGCAAATGTTTGCTCATGAGTATTTTGAGTTTGTGTTTGTCATTGGAGTTCAGGTGTCAGCATCTGCCTTGGGAGGTGATGGACAGGGGAGAAGGGTACTTGTGACATTGAGTGTCTTTATTCTCCCTGCAAATAACAGGGTTCAACTTTGCAAACCCAAAGCCTGTGTATCTTTGGGGAAAGCTCATCTCACCTGACTTGAAACTTTAAGACGTATACCTATCAGGATTCCATCCTAAATCACACTCTCTAACTGCAGCCCCAAAGCATCAATGACCAACTGTGTCAACACATTGAAGAAGAGAGTTTTGAGACAGAGGCCTGAAATAATTCTGCACACACACACACACACACACACACACACACACTGCAAGTCAGCAGGAGCAGACAGATCGCTTCAAATGACCCACTTCAGGCTGCAGATCCAAAAACCCATCCCGACTTGTGGGGAAAGAGGAGCCTGCTCAGTCCTGGTCCCAAACAGCAAATGCTCCCTAAATACTCTCTCCAGCACTGGAGGGGAGGACCGTTGCTCCGAATAGTTTTAAATGACCAAAGCTTAGCAGGTACCCCCTAGTTTAGAAGACTTAGAAACTTGACCGCCTAGACCTCCAGATCCTTTCCAGTATACCACTCTGAAACAGTGTCCTTTGCCTCAAACATTTGCCTAGAGTGAAACCGCACTGGTCTGAGAGAACCCATGGGTGTAGAAGATTAAAAACTCTAAGAAGATTAAAAACTCTTTACCAGATAATTCAGTTCAGTTTTGGAAAAGTTTTTTAAATGTTAAGAAGTTCTAAATGAGTCTTCTGAAAACCTTTGGAACTTTCTCCTACCACAAGATACAAGCACTTTGTTGTTGTTGCTAACTGGAAGCCCAGAGAAAGCAAAAAGAAGACAATGAAAGCTATTTGGAGACACATGTATTTTCCCTGGAGTCATATCTGATGATAGGGATCTCAAATACAATACAGGTAAATTCAGATTAAATTGGATGTCCTCTCAATGCATGAGGCGAGACGTGGGGTTATGTATTTTGGAAGCAAATCTAAAATTCGTTTAGCCCTCAGCTGCTGACTGGTACAATGACGTTCACGTTTCAGTTGGGCCGAACCCAGCCAATGCTTTATAAATAATCGGAAAACCTATCCTTAAAATGTGTCACTTTAGGGGCACAGGCAGATTCCTAGGAAGTTAAAACAAAACAACAATTCCATTGGAACGTCTTTATTTTTAAAAAAAAAACATCTCCATCAGAGGAAAATTTTAAGCTCTCTTTCACGATTTGGGGGGAAATACCTTAACACAGAGAGGGAGATGGTGGGGAGAAAAACAATATTTAGTTTTGACCTCCAGAGTACCAAGCTCTGGCCACGAAGAGGAGGCATTACCAAGGGGACAGTACCCCTATCCCCATGACCCGCGCCTCTCCAATTCTGCTGGGGTGGAGACCAGGGCGAAAAAGAACCTGAACACGAAGTTAGCCCTTCATGGAAAGCCTATCTGCTGCAAGAATTTTGCACACCCTCAAAATATTTTATTCACGTCTTCCCCGCGGCTCTAAATTAAGGGGCAATCATTCCTCTGGACGACTCTTGTGGGAATTAGCTTCAGTGGTTTTCATAAAGGAGAGAGGGTGTGGGGAGATAATTTGGAAATATTCTTGTATATCACAAGCAACATTAATTTATCCAACGCTCTCTTTGTCTCGGATATCTGAAAATAGGGACTCATCACCCGCCTTCACCGACCCCAAGGCAGGTCCTTTGTAAAATACCAGGTTCTTCTCAGCCTGAAAAAGGTGCAAGTTTGGGTGTCTTCCCAGAGCGGAGGACTGGCTTTGGTACTTTGTAAACTTAAACTTGGCATTCTGTAAACTTAAACTCCGGGGTGGTAGAATAATGTTTATGTGCCGTTAATGCTTCTAAGGGGTTAAAGTGGGGTTCCAACAGGAACTGGGTGACAGCGAAGCGTCACCTTTACACCTTGCCCAAGAGCCCGAACTAGAGCAGAATCTCATTTGCTTTTCAAGCACATCACTGCTGGCGGAGACTGTATCCGCCTAACCGAAGAAAAACCTCGGACTAGGAAGCTGCCCAATCATGCAAATAGGAGGTGAGACACCTTCGAATTCTCCTTGGGTCTAAGCCTGCACCTTCCCGAGCTCCCCCTTTCCCCTGCAGGTCACAGGAGCCGGGACCCTTCGTGGAGTAGCCGCGCACGCGCGCCATGAGCTCCAAGGTGAAGGCAGTCCTAGGAAACCGTGAAGCGTTGAGCACAGACCTGGGCGTTTGCAACCCGGAGGACGGATCGCCCGATCGCAGAGGCTAGGAGGGGCAGGGGGAGGGGCAGAGAAGGCTGTAGACGGGCCAGGGCTGCGGGTAGGCGCCAGGCGCGGGGAGATGAAAGGCGGGCTCCGGGGGAAGGGGCTGCGCCGGGTGACCGGCTCCAGCCGCGCCGGGCGCCCCGCCCCCGCTGCCCCGGGCAGAGGCGGCTGCCCGCGCCGGAGCCGCGTTAATTGCTCTCGGCCCGGCACTCAGCCTGCGCGGAGCCAGGACAACCTCGCTCCAGGAGGAATGACAATTCGCCCTAATGGGACAACCTCACTCCCGGAGGAGTGACAATTCCTTCTAATGGGCCGCTTGTTAGAGGCCTATTCTCCGAACCGGGGTATCAGAAGCGGGCAGACAAATGGGCGCCAAGGGCCGCCAGGAATTCCACCACTGCCCTCCAATCCGTGGACATTCGCTGTGTGACTTCGGGCAAAAGATGGCACCTCTCTGAGCTCATTTTCTTTTCCTACCTGTGCGCTGTGGGACGGAGGGATAAGGCAGATCAAACCTCCAACTGGGTCGACAAATCCAGAGGCAGCTGGAGAACCCCCCTGAGAGCTCCTCAGCAGAGTAGTTACTCAGGGTCAGGGTAGTATTTCCTTAGGCCTGTTCGAATACTTATGATGCTTAACAAGGGGCTAGAGGGGAAGGGCTTTGGCTACAGCCCTACCTAGATTATTGAAGGCCTCCAGAGAGGCAAGTTTTGTTGGCTTCCTAACAGTTGAAGTTGAGGGGCAGAAAAGAGAGGGGTCTGAGAACTAACTCAGTCCCACCCTGGACTCCTCGAAGAGGCCCAGGAACAAAGGTCTGTTGAGTGAGATTCACAAGCAAGTTGCACCTCTGCCAGGCCCGGAGCCTGGAGGGAGAAGGGGTCCGTTCTTTGAGTCTTCACTTAGCTCCTGGTTCATATGTGACAGTGACCAAGGAGGAGTGAGCGCCGGTTCCGAGTCTCTGTAGACCTGTTCTCAGGCAGAGCTCCTTTTTGCCTTTCACACCACTGCCTCCTAGGTTCCCTCTTTCAGAACAGAGCATAAATCCCCTTACCTTCGCAGCAGGATGGGCACACCTGTAGTACGGTAGCGGTCAGCAAACGTTGGCTATCTCCCAAGTCATTGTCTTACCTCTGTAAGTATCTGCTTACCTCTCAGCTCTTGGCAAGGCACACATCTAGATGCGTTGATGGGGATTGGAGGTTTTTCCGTGCAGAAGTACAAGACTGTTGAGGCCCTGGTAATAGGTACCTGTCTCTTCAGAGATTCGCCGGTATGTCTAGTGAGACATGAGGATTGAAAGAAAGCGAAATAGGTTAGGAACAGCAGACAGTGTCTCCCAGCCCCTGGGCACAGCTTCCTGGCAACTTCCTGTCTCCATTGGACAGGAGCAATCCTGCAGCTCAGATTTGTCTGCAGAGAGAAAACAAAAGAACAAACAAAAAGCAAAAACAAACAAACAAAAAACTACCTGGAAAAATGGTTCTGGGACATTGCATAGTTGCAGCCATGGGGAGCCACCTGAATTGTTTTGGAGGCGCTTAGAGCATCCCACACAGGTCTCTGTTCCCATCTGCTTCAGGCTACCCGTGTACAGAGCCAGAGTAACTACCATATGGCCTTTGCTGCATTTTAGTTTGCCTTCCTTACTGGGTTCCACTTCAGTCCCCAAGACGAGAGGAGCTTTTTA